TTTTTCTATCTAACTACAGCGCGTTATGCCGGGGATAATTAAAATGTCCTATAGAGCAAAGGACAAAGAGAAATCCCCGGGAAATTTGGCTTGAGAGTGGTCGACTTATCAGCAGAGTTCTAATGAGGCTTGATGTGGAGGAGATTGTCGGGACAAAGGTGATTCTAACGACGTCGGCTGACCTGACCTATGCTCTACTTTATTGACAGAGGTAAGGAGGATAACTACCTGATCAATGGTACCTATATCGTGTGTGATTGGGAGGATTGATTCTATGAACGGTTGTCAAGAATTGAAAGTTTGATGTTGTGTTCTTCATTCTTTTGTTGTAGCCTGTTAACTAGTGTGTTTTTCCTTCTGTGAGTCTACAATGCTTACGATTCTACAATCCACGAAAGAATAAATTGTTTTTTTTTTGGAAAAAAATGAGGAGATAGATGATGCGTTTCGTTTACTATAGCTTATAAAACGACATTTGAAAATTATCCCGCATTTGTTTCTTTTCAACGAAAATTCAAAATTTATTTTAAGGAGAAATAACGCCTAGTGGATATGGCATCTGCCCGGTAAGCGGAACACTATGGGTTCGATTCCCATCCCTGGGCACTTTTATTTTTCTGTTTATCATTACTCTTCATACCTTTCATACCTCATCCCTAAGGTTAGAAATAATCGTTATTTCTCCTTAAAATAATTTTTTTTTTTAAAGAAACAAATGTGGGATAATTTTCAAATGTCGTTTTAAAATCACAAGCCTCATTATATTATATTGTACTGTTGCTGGTTGGTTTGTAATTCCAAACGGAGTCCAACAACAAATTATTTTTCGTAAAATCAACTTTTAATTACATTTATTTAATACGAATTATCAGAAGGGGTTAAATTGTTGTATACTTGTTGACGTTCTTTTGTTTATATCTGTCGTGGTCAAATAACATTTTAATATTATAAAATTTTAAAATATATGTGTTTGATATATTATATATAAATATATACATTTTATATGATTTATGATTTATATTTAGAATGATGTATAATTATTTTATTATATTATTAAGACAACAAATAATGTGATATTAATGTTAATTTATATAATTTTAATAAAGTATATTTTATGAGCATTATATATTTATAAGATGAATATTTTAATTTAATATTTGAATTAAATATTTATTAAACAAATTAAAACTTATAATGAAAATATGAAAAGTTAATATTTAGTAGCCGCTACAGTACTATAGCTTATATTAGGCGAAATTTTGAGTATTTTTGCTAATTCATGCAACTACGGGCCTATGTTAAGATCGAGACTTAAAAAGTAAACCTTTAAAAAAAAATCATCCAGATAGAGGTTTCTTGTATAAATCTTTTAATATTGGATCTCAATTTTAATTCAAAATGTGTTTTTTAGTTTGTAAAGATTTGACTTTAGAATCTCGTTTTATATTTATACATTAAGTTCAAGAGCTTTACAAACTGTATTTTAAATGTTATATGTTGTTGTTGTTTCTTATCCCCTTGTGTAAAGATTACACGAATTCCATGAGTTAATGCTCCTCAAGCTGTTTTATGATGAGCAGCGGCCTCTCCCAAAGGTCCTGTTTAGTACATCTAATGCAAGCCAAAATGTGTTCTGGAGCTGCAGGTACCAAACTACATTTTGGGCAAGTGGGATACATTTTGTTATTATTTTCCATCTTCAATGGCTTGAGATGGCCTCTTCTAAATCTTGTTAGTGTTGTTTGATGCTGTCTATTTCTGATGTTCAGAGCTCCTCCTGGGTTCACTCCACTGTACCAACTATGCTTAGGTGGGATCCTCCAGTTCTTGTTTATTTTTGTTTTGGCTACTGCTTCTATTTCTTTAAAAGTAAGTAGTAAATGTTATATACACTCATGGACAAAACTTAAGGAAGTGGAAAGTATTTTATGTCGCCTGCCATCTTTTTTTTCTGAAGGAGACGAGACAAATTTGTTCACACTTGGTTATCTCGTGTATCTTCAATAAAGTTCACTGTAATATCTTTTAGAGTTATTGTCTCAATCCCGATATACATATTAAAAGGTACAACTTCCTTAGGTTTTGTCCATGAGTGGATATATAGATAGAACTATATAAGATAAAACGTCTGTAATTTAATTCACACGCGCGGATTTTATATAAATTATTAATTTGATGCATTAGCGCGCCATCTGTTATACAAAATTGAGACTATTTTAGACGCGTATGATTCTTTTTTAAAAAATAAGCATTAATAAAATAATTGGAGTAAGGGGGGAGTGTCAGTAGAAAATTGCTCAATTTTAAAAAGGATCATATGGGTCTGAAATATTCTCAAATTATTAATTTAACTTATTTCGGAGAAAACGTCATTTATATATTTTAAAAATAAATTTCCTACACTTTCCTACGCAATGAATTATTTTGAATTGATTTTAAAAAGTATGGACAGAGAGAGTAACAAATATAAACAAACTTAAATTTCATAACAATGGTCAAAAATCCACAATTAAAAATATTTATTCATTGAAATATTAGTATATACGTGTTAATTTCCAACAAAATGTACATTTTGAATTTTTTCAATTATACATAAGGTTATTAAATTCCTTTTTTTTTTCAAATATGTACCTTTCTTAAACTATTATTAACAGGATTCATTATTGATAAATATTTAATCTAGTGTAAACCACAAAAAAAAAAAAGGAAAATTTTCCACTTATAAACCAATATATCAAAAATAAGTAACAGTATATAAACATAGAGTTTGAAAGAAAAAGTTCTAATCTTAAACAAATTTATCAACAGATGCCAATAAAAAAGAAGTAAGATAATAAACTAAAGCTAACTATCAACACTAGTTGGATCTTCCTAATTTAATTAACCAGTTATTTAAGACAAATCTCTGCTAATGAGTGCATTTATCTTTTGGAGAGAAATATCGTTTGCACACACTTGTTTACATATTCGTCTGCCCATAAATCATCGGCTGCTCCTAAAATCAATAATTAATTACGCAGACGATAATCGTGGGCAACAAATTAGGCCAGACGACCATTAAACTACATTTTCTGGAGCTATCTTCTGAGTGTGTTGAGTAAGTTAGTTATTCTTGAAGTTGATCTGCTACATTTCAACTAAGAGGAATTTTTGTACAAGTAAGAAGAATCTGGATTTTTACTCCTAAAAACAGGTAAGAATATTGGAAGAAAGACTTAAAAGTCTTTCTCAAAGTTAGAGTTTTACGAAGATGAAATTCAACATGAAGTGTCGAACATTTTATTTACTCTTCATTATTCCAGATTTCATAGAGAAGACAAAACTTAAGGTTTTTCATAGCAACATATCAAGTTAATAATTTTAAAGAATTTTCTCTTATTCATTGGCCGATATGATCTTTGTCTATTTTGTATCACCAATTCTACGATTCAACAGACAACTGAGAATATCACTAAACAATAAAATAAAAAATAACTAATAGACACGCAGGCTATCGCTGATTTTCTACATTCATGGACAAAACTTAAGGAATTTTTATATTTTGAGCATAAACCACTTCTTATTGGCTTATATAACGGGGAATTTCCTATATATGTGAATTGGAACGTTCTCTCTCTCTCTCTTCTTCAAAAATAAAATATATATGTTATATAAAAATATTATTTTATTTAAAATTATATATTTCATAGATACAAATATTCTGTAGATTCGACCACCAGAGGTCGCGACTTCCCTTTATATAACCTATTGTTGTTGTTTCCCGATGGCCGGCTCAAATCTTCTGTGATTTTTTATGTAAATAAGTTTTTCTTTTTTTATTATTCTTACGCTTTAAGCCAGGCAGTATTTTTATCAAATTATGTTTATTATATATTCCTTTAGCTCAATTAAAGCAATTACTGATCAAAAATATTTTATATATTATACTTTCAAGATTTTTGCCACGACTGCATTACCAATACCATTTAGTAAAGAAAAGAACCATCAAATAATTCTCTAGCATATCAATTTTTATGTAATATATATATATTGTTACGTGTAAGGCCTCTAAACGGTTGCAATCTCCGCCAATAGATGGCGCTTTCGCCGGATTCCCTTGCTGGCCGATGTGGGAGTCGCCGACTGCTGTGGTCCCGTTTCCTGGGGAGGTTGGATGTAAATACGCTTTTGTTTTGGCCCCAGGATGTAGGGTCATGTAAATACACATTGTTTGTTGTTTTATTTAGATGTATTGTTTAGTAATAGATGACAATAAAGAAGTGCTTCAAGTCTGCGTGCTGCCTCCTGTCGTTACTCTGCCACTGCCTTCATCGCCAGTCTACTGCTGCTGCTGCTGCTACTACTCTTCTGGTAAGTCTCTCGTGTCCCCCCACCAGTGGTAAGGCCGAGAGATACTGCCAGAAGAAGGGAGTTTCCACAGGAGAGGTGGAACTCGGGAAGTCTTTGGGTGGCCTGCGGGGAAAAGCCGCAAGGAAGAGCAACCGGAGCCCAAGTAGGTGAACCACGAAGGGAAGAAGCGCGTTGTCGCAAAGAACCAGCAGGGTAAACACGCGACAATATATATATTATCACGTATAAAATTAGGGAAGACAAACTTCAGGATATATGAAACAGCAATTTATTTAAGGTACAGGTACAAATTGAAATTGATAAAATACAAGAGAAGTAATAAGAAGGAAGTTTAAAGAGTAAAAAAATATAAATCTCAAAACATTGATAATCTGTTCATAAAATAATAAATACCTTGCTACAATATATGATGAAAAAATCATATATACATGTTAAAAGGTACAACTTCCTTTAGTTTTGTCCCTTAGTGTATATACCTATTGATACTATTTACCATTGTAAAACAACACTTGAAGTTACACCGCATGAGTTTCTTTTCAATGAAAAATCAAAATTTATTTAAAGGTGAAATATTGACTATTTCTAACCTTTTTGGATGAGGTATGAAAAGGTGAATTATGAAGAGTAATGATGAACGGAAAAATAAAAGTGTCCAGGGATATGAATCGTACCCACAATGTTCCGCTTACCGGGCAGATGCCATGTCCACTAGGCTACCCTGGACGTATTTTTCCGTTATACTATCTACCATTGTTTGCTTTTGATCTTTTTTGGACTCCGGGATAGGTTTATTCAAGACGAAATTTTAAATAAAAACCTATTTTGTTGTTATTTTACTTCTAGGATTGAGAAAGAAAGACAATTTGACAATTAAAATAATTTTAATGACATCTTGTCAATACATGCAAAGTGCACAGTCTGTTTTGAGAGATAAATAGAGAAATACCAAACAATTGATCGTAGAGGATGTTAGAGAAAACGTTTAGCGTGGGAAAGAATTAAAGAATCTTCTGGCGTTAAAAGCGAGTGAGTCTTAAGTAGAATTAATTGTTCCAGAGTTCAATCAATTTGTTTGGTCATCCACAAACCTTTTCTACTTGGGCCGATGGAAGAATTTGGAAACAATACTTTGTGAAGTAAAAAGTGAAGTCCTCTCTCTCTCTGAGGGCAATGACAAGTAATACTACCATTTACAAGTACCATCTTGGTCTTGAGTTAGGTAACGCCAGCCATTACCTAGACCTGCCCACTCTGTGGGAAAAAACTCTTGCAATCCATCGGTGGCGGAGTCTTTCCCGCGGTGGGCCCCACCATTACTACTTTTTCAAATTAATTTTAGATACCAATTTTGCCATAGCTGTTATTCCTTTCAAGTTGCACAACACCTCTTAATCCTTTTACACCTTATTTTGCTCTTCATAATTTGTACCTAAATATAATATTTCTCATTCCATATTTTTACCTTTAAACATTTTACGACTATCATTTCTTAACACCAAAATGCCACTTGGAAAATTAGGGAAGACAAACTTCAGAATGACACAACAATTTATTTAAGGGAAGAACAAACTATGAATATTTGAATCTATGAAATATAATTTTGGATAAAATAATATTTTTATATAACTATATATATATTTATCCATTTCATATCTTTATATTTATTCATCTATATATATCCTTATTTAATATTTATTTATATATATATTTATTCATTTATTCTGTATTCTTAAATGGACATTGGAATAAATCAGTTTCAATCTCAATCTCTCTCGGGCAGTAATATAACTGAAATAACTTACTTGACTGCTTAAATGAACGTTAAACGGATAAAAGATAATTCGGAAACTTTTTTATCAAAAGAAGTATAGAATATTTTGTCAGGTGTGCTTTAAATAAGCTTGTGTGATGTACACATTGTGATAAAACGATTAAATATATATTTAGTTCTGAAAATAGAGCAATCCATTCTTAAATCATTAGATATTCTTAAAATAGAGCAATCACAAACTGGTAGAGTTTGTGCACAACTGTGATATTATAACACTATGCGGCGCTGAGTTTGTGTATACAAAAATGTAATGCCTCGATATAGGTTGGCATTCAGCCAGCCGAAATATTGGCAAATATATATTTTATTCAATCCAAAATATGCCTTTTTACTATCTAATATATTCAGTTATGGCGAGTTAACATGAGTATCATCTTTTATAGTTAATTGTCAAAAACCGGCAAAACCTTTGTTTTTCAATGAACCTTGCTAATAGTAAAATGTCATCTATCGGAATAAGGTCAACTAAAGGTGTATTTAATTTTATTACAGCCAATATAAGGTCAAATCAACGGTTAGTCAACTTTTTTTCCGATAGATGGCGTTTTGTCATCAGAAATTCTAATTTGAAATTTCAGAATTGTTGCTTATTTTGTAACTGTACTTTGAAGCTAATATTGGTTGAAAATATCTAGCAATAGAATTTGTATTTACTGGGTTATGGATCGTTATTTCGATAGGAAAAATTCAATGTACCTTTTAAATGGTAAATAGAGCTAGATATGCAAATAGTAAAAAAGTATATATATATAATTATGCAAATAGGGCTATAAGAGGTTTTTCGATTACTTAACAAAGGGTAAGAAATTTGTTTTATTAAAGTTTTTTTTTGTGGATAAAATAAAGGTGAGGAAAAAAGCTTCTGATCGTGCAATTAAAAGTTGCTGATGGCTTGCGCCATTTGTCGGAATAAATATTTAAAAAATCGTCGATTATTATCCAATTGGGCAATATTGGGATGATTTAAAAGGATACTTGAAGAAAAATAAAAGAGTATTTTTAGGGTTGAGTATTTCAGGACGCTCTAGCTTTCTACTTCTGTTGTTCCAGCTAAACCGCGTCGCTATTGTTTGCCAAAAGAAAGATCATTGTTCTTCTGCCCAACAATAGACCAAAACAGACGAAACTTTCGGGTTTCGTTTGGTGTTAGATAATTCTTTACTCTTCGCACATTTTGAAGTTACACCTTCGCTAACTATTATCGAACAAATGGCTATAGAAGAGCATTGCTCGATGCAAATATTTAAATGTAATTCTACTGTCATAAAAGCTTATGTCTATAGTTTGCTTAAATACCGTTTCTCAGATTCTACCTCTCAGTGTAGCATATATAAGCAGAATGATCCATTGCAGTATTAGAGCTTTAAAAAGCGGTCTGGTAGATAAAATTGGCGAAACCGCTGGGAGGGTTCACCACTGATGAGCCAAGCCCTTCCAATATATTTTTCACCGCAGTAAGGACAGTATAAAAGTGTGTTTTATGTTTAAAATAAACTTGCGTGCTTAAATGATTTACTTTCTTATAAATTATTATGGATTTTTATGACAAAGCACGCCATCTAGATTCGGGAATATTAACTATTTTAGAGATAATTTTTCTTTTCAAACCAACACTTTCCTACTATCCTTACTGCAAAGAGAAAAATATTGATAGGTCCTGGCTCATCATTGGTGAATCCTTTCAGCAGTTTCTTTAGTTTAATCTATTATATTGTTCTAATAGTGTATTGGGTTGTTCAGAATGTATATTTGACACTAGTGGAATTAGGATACATTACCGCGCCATCTGTTATCAAAATAAGAAACTAAGACGCGTATGATTCTTTTAAAAATTAAACAATTTCTACTGCCCTTACTGCAATGGAAAAATTAATGGGAGGGCCTGGCTTATCAGTGGTGAACCCTACCAGCGGTTTCACCAGTTTATAAAAGAATCATACGTGTCTAAAATAGTTTCGTATTTTGATAACTAGTGGAATTCTTGGTGAAGGTATTGAAAGAAACTATGGAGATACACACACACACACATTTTGATGACAGAAGAAACTTATTCAAATATTGCTTTGAGGATTGTTGTTTATTGCAATAAGGTCAGTAGAAAAGTGTCGTTTTGAAAAAAAGAGAAACTTTGGCTCTGAATATCTACTTATATAATTGCCTTATTCTGTCTGTGTGAAGTTCACTGTGTGAAGTTCACGGATAGATTTTGGTCAGAATGGATAAAATAAAAAAAGTGTCAAGGGATGGGAATCGAACCCACGACCTTCCGCTTACCGGGCAGATGCCATGACCACTAGGCTATCCTGGACATATTTTTCCGTTCATAAAGTTAATATATGATGCCAATATATATAATAATTGTATAAACGAATGCAAGACAAAATCACCGCGAATGTTTCTTTTTTTTTAAGGCAATTTCTTTTTAAGGCAATTATCGTTTTGCACAATTACTTAATCTTTTAAAATAAATAACAATACTTAAATGAAAATATGTTTCTTTAAATAAAATAAAATAAACTTTTAAATGGGTAATCTTTATGAGAACCTTTAAATATATATAAGTACCTTTAATCGATAATCTTTATAAGAATAAAATATGTAATTCATTAAATAGAATTATATAATAAATATAAAAAATATACGCACTCGGGTAAAACCCGGGCGTTGCCCGGGCCATTCGTCTAGTTTTATATATTTATGAAGACAGATTTTTAAATATATGTTTTTTTTTGTCAATTAATAATTACCATGTTACCATAATTGAATATGCAAATTGACTTATTATTTCTTAAATAACTGGTAATAACTATGTGCTATATATACGAACGTGGCTTTGAATCACGAATTTTCATTTTTACCCTCAATAAACATGTATAATCATTTTGTTCTTACATTTAGAACCAATTTTATTATAATTTTTATTTATGACTTATATATGGTGCCTAAAGGGCCTGGCTAAATAATTTTTTGGCAGTTTGCATTTTTCTATCTAATTCTATTTGAGATTAGTGTGTGATACGACGGTTTAATGTTCAAGTAATTCCATCAATATGTAAACTTAGTAGAAGAAACTTAAACAAAAACTAATATTCGTAAACTTTCTAATTGAACTAATGTTTTTCTCCAGAACCCAGGTGTTTCTTGTTTGTTTCCCACAAAAGATTTTATTGAATTTGAAATTATCTTTAAACTTTCTTTAAGAAATGTCGTTAATTTATTTATTAAACATTTTAATGAAAACCTCTCAACTCAATCAAGTTTTGGGGAGAAATTGATTTCCGTTGAAAAATCTATTTACAGCAATAGTTAATGGGGTCTCTCTGGTTAGATTTAGTTAGGGAGTTGGTTATAGGAATTCTCTCGCTCAGTTATCCTCGAGTTGAGAGTGGGAGATATATTCAGAAATATGGTATATACCTTTATTTTTATATAAAATGATATTTAACGTGAAAGAAATACATTCATAGAAAAAAGCTTAAGAAAATGGAAAGTCTTTGATGTCGCCGGTCGTCTTTTTTTTTTTCCAAGGAGACAGGCAATTTTGTTCGAACACTTGGTTATTTCGTAAGTCTTCAGTAAAGGTCACTGTAATATTTTTAGAGTCAATGTCTGAATTACGATATACATGCTAAAAGGTACAACTTCTTCAACTGGCGCTAGAAGGGTTCATCACTGATGAGCCAGGCCCTTCCATCAATATTTCATTGCAGTAAGGGCAGTAGAAATTGTTTAGTTGTAAAAAAGAATCATACGCGTCTATAATAGTTTCGAATTTTCATAACTTTTTAAAGTTCTGTCCATTTGAGTGTATATATATATATATATATATATATATATTTTAAAAAAGATGCATATATTGGATTTTTAAAAGAATTTATTAATCCAATATTTC